GGTCTTTGCCTTCTCGACTTCAGTTAGCCAATTGATGACGTAAAGTCCATCATAGCTGTAGGCATTGCTAACAGCTTCCTTCATATTGGCTATCCATACCCTCAGCCCAGCCGCGTCGGGCTCTGGCGGGAGGTCTATGGGAATGCACTTAGTCGCAGCTGTACAGTTCGGATCATGGTGGCTACTGTACCCGCCGCCACCAGTTCCGAAAAGATGCTGTGGAACCTGAGAACTACCGATTGATAATGCACATACAGGACAAAGGCGAGTAGCCTTCGGAATGCAAATCTCACATGCCCTTTTCATGCATATCTTACATTCCTCAATTTTGCTGGGGTCAGGAATATCCCGATCACACATCCGACATTTCTTGTCAGGAGGATCGGGGCCACGCATGGTCGGCGGCTCAAGGCCTGAAGGATCCTTTGGCCTTGTACTGTTGGGATCAAATCCTGGATAATATCCGGTTTCACGTTTATCCAGGGGCACGGGTTGCGTAGCCTTCGGAGGACTCTGAAGGTCAGCCGCGTTGGGTTGACCCCCAGTTGGGGTGTCACGGAATCTGTCAACGGGTGGCCGCAGAGGCGGCGAGAACGACCGCGTCGGGTTCGCCTCAGGTACGCCCCCAGGCGACCTATTCCTGACACGGTTACCATCGGGATCCCTTCTTCTCCTAGTTTCGTCCCTTAGGCACGCAAGACAACAGGGACCCTGGACAAATCCAAATCTCCTGTAGTCGTCCTGCCCAGCAGAATGTCTGGTGCAGTAGTAGGTCTTACAAAACTGACACTCAATTCCCTTGGTCAGGAACGAGCTCTCCCTACAGACTCCGCATCGGGGCCCGTTACGGGAACATTCTTCGCACAGGTTCTCTTTAAATGAGAAGCAATACTCACAAATATCACCTCTGCATCCCTTGCAGTGAAACTCAGCCATGAGATGATTATATCCATCACCTATGTATTTACATCTGGGTTTACCAGGGTTGCCAGGGTTCCCACCGGCGGCACTCTTCTTCCCCCCTCCTCCTGGGCTTTGCCAATCTGGAGGAGGAGGCGGTGGAGGATCATCATCAGGAGGGCCAGGAGGAGGTGGCCGCTTATCCGGAGTACGGGACGCGGCACGCCTTCCTCCTGTGTGATCGTTCAATCCACTACTTGATACTACTTGAGGCCTGGCTCGAGTGCATTGATTCGAGGGAGTTAATTTTCTGGGCCGTATTACCCAGCACCTCGAGCATTTGCTCGAGCTTACTGTTGAGCGTAGTCGAAACGGCCATGTTATGAGTATTTTGCTTGTCCGTGTAGGATTTGCAGTCCCTTGACTTTATCTCAAGGTTGGCTTGTGTCTCATAAAGTTGGTCTTTAACCCACTTTATGCCGTCCCTATCATTGGTCCAGCGTTGTTCGACATCTTGCATCATCCTATCAATCTGACATACCCTAGTGGACAGGTCCTCGATTTTGAGGTTTACTCCACCAATCGCAGGATGGTTGGATTGGCTCTCCACTAGAGATCTCTCGATCATATCAACACGAGCTATAAGCCCGGTTACTCGATCAGAAAGAGATTCAAAAACAGTTTGAACCTGGGTGATGGAGCGAGCAACATCATCGTAGCTGGCTCGCTCGTTTAGGGCATCGCCTATGCTTATCATGCGATCGGCAACGATCTTGACGCGTTGGCCAAGCTCGGTCACGATGTCCTTAGTCCCTTGTGACAGCTGCATGGCCGCGTTCGCAGCCTGTGTACACGTGCTACTCACATGGACGCATTGATCGTACTTGGCCCTCCACGAGTTGACCTCAGTGGAGAGCTGCTTGATGCATTGATCACTTCTATCATTCCTACGCCCAAGGTCTTCGACCTTAGCAACCAGGCGATGAATAATCGCACTTACCGAAGAATCCACTCTCCCTCTTTCAAGGGCTGTTACAAGATCAGCAACCTCGTTGGGTTGCTCCTCACTCGCAGGACCAAATCCTGATCCGCGATCTCGAGGAGTGGACAAATCAACCATGATTGGATTAGATCTCGGAGGAGTTCTGAAAACATCCTGGACGGCCGTTGATGGCCGTGGGAACTCACTCCGATTAGGAGATTGACTCTGATACGGAGCAGATCTCCTAGCATCACGAACCGCAGAGGGTTGTGTCATGCCCAGGCCTTTGGCAACGGATAGTTTAGGAATAACAGGCCTATCCGTTCGCATAGGAACATCAGGTCTCGAGTCAGCAATAACAATGTCATTCAAGTCGGTCGCATTGGACACTCTAGACTCAGACATCGATTCAATATCAGTTGCATTACTGATGGTATGATTGCGACTAGAACTCGATGCCATCATGGACTCAGATTCTATTGGAACATTAGCTCCGTCCATATTGTCCAGAGCGAAAAAGGAAGCCGCGTTGGGCGTAGGGCGAACACCTTGGGCATTCAAGCCACTTGACCTACTAAATTCCTCCTGGAATGCTTCGATCCCATCAAGCACGTTAACGAGTGTGTCCGCGTTTAGCGGGTCTCTACCAATGATCGACGCTGGATCACCTGATCGACCGCGTCCGCGTCCGGAGTCCCGCGCACTGGGGTTACCCCTGTGGGCAGTTTCCCGATCCATCCCCCTTGCCCTATGCGATCCAGTCGAATTCGACCTTGATCGTTTGCTTGGAGTTGGACTGGGATGCAAATCCAATCTATCTACGATATTACGCTCCCTAGGGCTCTCAAATCCTGAAAGTCCCGGGGGAGGAGACATGTTCCTCATGGTCGGGTTTACCGACGGTCTTGGCCTGACGTTACGGCTGGCCACATCAGGATTGAGATTCTCAATCGACAAAGGTAGCATGAATTCATCACTTCCAGCAGCTCGTTTTGGGCTTTGGAAATGCGGGAAAGATGACGGGGCGGGTGGCCCTGGCATCCATGCGGCAAAATCCATACCAAAAATGTTTCCGTCGTTGGGCCATGAGGCTCTCCAATCGAGCCCACCGGATTCGGTCGGCAGATGAACATCGAATGCAACTCCACTGGATGTACCAGGTTCGGGATTACCGAGCGCTTGAAAAACTATACTGCTGGTTGGCACAGGTCTACTGCTACTTGAGAGTCACGAAACTCGGACTGACCAATATTCATCAGCTCCGGGAAAGATGAGGATTGAGCTCCAGGTGCAATACCGGGCTCGTCATCATCACGTCCTGAGACGGAATCATCATGGTCAGGACGATTAGCCCCATGACCCTGAGAGCGATTAGCTCTTGAAGCATTAGACGATAGCTCATCAGTGCGAGTAGCACTGGATCTTCCTGAAGGCATTGCTTCTGAAAAAGAGTGGTCCGACAAAAAGTCAGGACCGGAAAACATCGGCTGTCCGGGCACTTGGTCGTCATTCACAACGTCCAAGATTCCGGCCTGGCCGAGAACCCATTCATCGGTCACCACATGAGGTCCATCCTCAGTGATTCCCGCCATACTATTTACACTACCCTACGATGCCTGCAGGGTTGTTAGAAAGGGGTTCGCGGTGCCAACCGAGGACGAATCCTACGGCTGATAACCTGCGAGAGGGTTTGAAACAGAGTTTCGGGAGAGAATAAACAGGCCCAATCCCACCAACAAGAAGAGATTGTTTAAGTCCCCCAGTCCCAAGGGCAAAGCGGTGCCCCCGGCTGGCACAAACAACGAACCAAAACAGGGTGCCTTTAACCAAAAGATGAATGAACCCAGCAAGGGCAGAGACAACCGAAAGCAAGCACAAAGCAGCAACCCAAGCAGGCAAACAAAGCAGCGAAGCAAGCAAAGCAAACCAAATGCGCACCAACCCCAACCAGAACCCCCGACCAACCTCCACCGGAAACACCACCACGAGCGCTCAGCAGCGGCACTGTTTGCCGAAGATGAGCGTGACGTGCCGCAGTGCGCGGTGACGAAATTGCAAGGGCTAGTTGCCGGATTGAAAAGCTTGAGCCAAAAGCCGCGTTGGGCTTCGGCATGAAACATGCTATGATAAAAGTACATGCCCCCAAAAACAAAGTGAAACCAAATGGAGGTGTGTTTAAACAATTGTGGTTTAACAAGAAACCAGCGGTTGAAGCCTTGGTATAAAGAGGCCATGGCTTCTTTGCCGCACATTCTGACTTGCCAACAGGACATGAACATATCCCTCTCATTAAACATGCACCATGAAAAAACCAACAAACTCTTGGTCAAAAGGTGGACACCTCTCAGGCACCAAATTTCCCCCCACCAAAAACAAAAGACACAGAAAGGTGGGGGGAACTGCGCCTTCTCGCTTCCTGAGTGGATCGGCCAGCTCCTGAACTTTTAGTCTGCCAAAATGGTCCAACCCGAAAATGTGACTGAATTCCATGATCCCCCTAAAAAAAGAAAAACTTGACCCCCCTAATAATAATATTTTTTTTAAAAAAAAACATGACCCCCCCCCCCAAAAAAAAAAAACACGACCCCCCCCTTAAAAAATAAAATAACAAAATGACCCCCCAAAAAATAAAACAAAATAAATGAATAACAGCAAGCGGGCGAACGGGCTCAACATTCCGCCCCACCACGACCTGGGACTCACTGCCTGAGTGGATTGACAAAACAAATGGACCAAACCCCAAAAGTATAAAGTACATGAACTCAGGGAGTGAGTCCGGGTTCTTAAATTCCCCCGCTCCCCTCCCAAGAAAAAGAGACAAACACAGTTGTAATAGACTCCCTTCAAGACAAAAAACAGACCATAAACTCTATAGATTTCAGCATTTTCTGGCACAAAATATCTCCCCCCCCCCAAACAAAAACTTTGGGCACAACATCCCCCAAAAAAAAGAAAAAGAGAGAAACACCAAAACAAACCAAACAAACAAAACCCAAAAAGGGGAGAAAAAAACAACAACAACAAACAAACAAACAAACAAACAACAAACAAACAAACAAACAAACAAACAAACAAACAAACAAACAACAAACAAACACATGGGAACTACACCCCGCGCCTTGAAGTTGGAGAACTGTGCGAGCCCGATGACCAGCGCCAGGCCGTTGCAGAACCCGATCATCACCGGCACCGGGATGAGCTTCACCTATATAGCGGCCCGAAACTGCCGCCCTCGTTGAAAACCCGCCATTCCGGGCGACCAACAAAAACTTGGTTGACGTTGAAAGGGGAGCGATAATTAACATGTTAGCAAGTGGTTGGATTTCAACCACTAAGCCATAATAAGCAAAACTGTAACATCTTTCCCAAGGACAACCATGAAAAGGCCCCTGGAACCAGGGGTGACCTTTCGGAAAAAATCGAGGGCCCTGGTAAATGGGATGAAGCCAATCTGACACAGTGGAATCCATCTATTTCTACCAGGTCCTCCAGTAGAGAAGTTGGAAGGGTACCATTTTTTTCGGTAATCGATTTTAGTAGGGGAACCCTCCCAACCAAAAAAGGGGTGAGGAAGGGCACTACTGGGGAGCTTGTTCCTCTTTTGCTTCGGGCAGGCGGAACTACTTTGGACCCTGGTTCAGTGATTGTGAACCAAGGGAAAGCCAAACACAGGCATACGCGTCCTGATTTCCTGGCAAATGGATGGCATCAAGCCAATTTCAATTATCCCGGTGGAACCCGTCTGTTTCTATCCTAACAAACCCAAAGAGGACAGTCCATACAGGGCTCCGAAAAAGGGATCCCACCTGTTCCAGCGCGTGATGGAAACAATACGCCCATCCCCAACAGCCTCGGGGCCCTAAACCCTCCTGCCCCGCCCCAGCAAAGCCTTGGTGGTCTTTGGGGAAGCGATGAAACGATTGATCGTGCCTTGTCTTTCTTCTCTTTTGTTTGGTTTTTGTACCTCTTCCACTAGTCTGGTTCTGTGAGGAAGCCGTTTGGGAGTTTTGTCACAGAAGGATCCCTGGAAGGGGAAGTACCCGCGGATGGGAGACCCGGGACCCCTACCATTCATCCTGTGCCACATTCTCTTTCCGGAAATCGGCCCAGGGGGCAAAGAAATGGCTTGTATGAAGTGTGTACATCATATCTCTCGTGTACATTATATCTCTTGTGTATATATGGACTGAAAGGAGCATTGCTTAAAAATGCGGGGCAACCAAAACCTGCGAGAAACATTGCGCCTCCTTTCGTCGACAGGATGCTGTCGGGTTCCCAAAGGCTTAGTCTCACGATTTTCAGAAATCCAAGAAATCGGTACCTGTCAAAGCAGGGCCCGGAAATGATGGTTGTCCATTTGGTTCTCAAAGTGAAATGAGTCAAAATCAGAACCCGGAACACAAATTGACCATGTAAAGAACTAAGAAGGCGGCCGCAGCTATTTATGGTTGGGATCGTGCCATACTAACCTTCATCTACCCGTGTTTTGATGAAATGACTTGCCAATCCAATTCTTTACCCTTGAGAAATCCTCTTCTAGGAACGCTTCGAAGCAGCCCGGGTTTTTTCGGCCTGGCAAACGCAGCCCACTGTTTGCTGTTTGAAAGGGACATGGAGGAGACCCAGGGCAAAAGGGCAAACTTGGCCAACTTCGGTGGCTTGATCCCTAAAGCTAAGCTGCTAGTGGGATGTGGTCATGGGCTTTTCAAAATCCAAAGCCCGTACCCCCAGCGAACGGGACCCAATCCAACCACTAAAATAGGTTCTAAAATGTGTGGTGAATTCACCTACCAACCAAGATGGAACCATTGCTTTTGACCCACTGCCATATGCCTTCGGCCCCTCCCACTGCGCAGCAACAAAGTCGGAGAAAGCTGGGAACCGCGAGGTGATCAGTCTGGCAGCAAGTGAAAAACATAGGTGTCTTTTTGGTTAAATAGATGGGATTCCCTGGAAAATAGAATAAAACCCATCTAAACCAGTGGATCCTTTCTATTTTGAATCACACTAACCCAACAAACAAAAAAAGAGGCTATGGCACCTATTGTGAAAAAGCTTCGCAAAACCCCGCCAAAGGCACCAGCGTGCCCACTTGGAGCACTCCCAGGACCATCTCCAGGACGCCCATGACCATGACCTAAAGTCGGGGTCCGCGCTTCGTTTCTGGTGGACTGGACGAGCCCCACCCCCTCCATTGTTCTAGGGGTTGGTTCCATTTCCATTCTTTTCAACCAGCTGGGTAAGTCATTGGGCTGGGGCCAAAATTTTTAGCCAAATTTGCATTTAGGCAAAGCAAAGGCAGCATCAGGGCAAAGCAGAGGCAGCATCAGGGATGCATCTCTGGCACGAGGACCTCGCCTCGCCCCTTGTCGCCTTACATGCTTCCGAAGCGCAGCCGGAAGAAGCTTCAACCAAAAACAAGTTGAGGGAGATAGCGGCAAATTTGAAGGAATTTGAGGGTGAAATGATATCTGCGCATGCAAGCTCAGGGCTTGGCAGCCTGCCAAGCCTGTGGCCCATCCACGCAGCTATCTTCGCCGGGGTCAATGAGAATGCTCAAGGCTGTACATTTCGTGCCCCCATACAGTCCCAGGAGAACTATCGCAACTATCATGTTGCTGTGCACGCGCTGCGCCTTTTCCCGCTGCCCCTCAGCTTCAATGCTTAGACCCACGAATCAAAACCTGGTGTCTCAGGGCACAGCCACATCTACCTATGGCTGGCAAGGCCCTTTGCCGCCAGGCTTCGACTGTCTCACTCTGACCCTGAGGCAAACTTGCCTAAGATAAGCAGCCGACGAAGCCCTTGAAAAGCGCCCACGGCCAGACCTTGTCACGCATGTCTACGCGAACTTCCTCCTTCGCCTTTGCCTTGGCTTTGGCCCTGGCCTGCTGGCCTGCCGGCCTGCGGCCATGTTGGTTGTGCGTCTGCGTGCGCGTGGCGTCCATAGCCTAACAGCAGTGTGAATTCCGTAACTTCTCACCTACGGTGTGTAGAATATGTTGTGGCCTTACTTGTCTCTGCGATGCGTGGGACGCACGTAGCAGCACATATTGCGCAAGCTGTTGGTCACGCGAACAACGCGTGCCGTCCTGCTGCCATAGCGACGTGACCGTCATGAATCTCAGCGCAGCGAAATGCTTGTGTAAAGCGCACGCATTTCGGTAAAAGAACAGTGGGGCCTTCGCGCTGGCTGCTTGTTGACTTACATGGGGTGCGCAGCACTACTGCCTGAGTTGGCGGGCGGGCTGGTAAGTTGGCTTCAAGCACCTCGGTAAGCGGCTTGCCAGTGCGCGAGCAGACCGTGCAAACGAACTGGCATTGTTTGAGAGGCGTGTTTTGGAAGCCCTTGCACCGCACAGGCGACCTCGCAAGGCTTGCAAGAGGGCAATCACTGAAGCGCCCAAAAGCATTCATTTTGTAGCGCTGCCTGCGTTGGGTACCCCCTTTTCTCAGTGAAGCTTAGGACCAGCAGAAGTAGCCAATTCACGCGCGGCGCTGCTTACTAGTACTACGCGCTAGGAGCAGGTGTGCACTCTTCGCTCGCGCGGCAGCAGCAGCGGTGTAAGCTAAAGTTCTGCTTCTCGGGCCCGGGGCCTGACAGTCGACATGACGACCTTTGCGAGGCTGGCCAGAGCGTGATACAAAGGCACCAGGAAAGACGCAGGGCATTGTGCGAATCCACTCCTGCGCGAGCTCGTGTCTTGGCGTACCCAACTATCAGGCTACACGCAGGCGTCACTAAATCAGAAACAGCACGCCTGCATGTCAGCCCCGCGTATCAACGTATCAACACTACGAAGCGAAGTCGCCAAAAACCAGAGCCGAGGAAAGCTCGCCATGCGCAGCCAACCAACCGAAGAGCCCTGCGCTTCTTGCACATCCTCAAGGACAGGGTTGCCAGGCAGTTAGGTCTATCAGTGAAGAGTGGGAGGAGCAGCTACGTAATCGCAAACGGGCACGGGCCCTCAAACGCACTAACCAAGAAGAAGGGGTCTACATTTCACGCAAAGCAGCTGCCTGGCCAATGCTTCGCTCAATACATGGAATTATCTTCAGAGCGTTTCTTTACAGTGGCAGCAACGCGTTTCTGCTCAAGACTTCCAGTCCAGTGGCCATCTTCAGACTCTTGGCTCGCATCAACACTCCGGCACCTGAAAGCCCAGCGGCATCACCAAGCAAGGGCGCGCGGATGGACGTGGGATCAGTTTTCCACGGCCTGTTATGGCGCATCACGTGGGACGAAACTCGAATCCGCAACTGAGCCAGCCAGTCATAATATCATAAGAAAGGGTTTGTCGGCCATGCCACACACGCCGGCATCGCATCAAGAAGGGACCCCACATGAGCCTTCTTCAAAGTTGCTTAGCTGCTTGTTGCAAGTTGGCCAACATCGCGGGGAGACCATCGGCCTTTCCACGTGCAACAATTCTACAACTCCAAAGAATGGGCTTGGAAGGTCCAGAACTCATGGGGCATGGGCCGCGCAAAAAGTGTTTCTTGCTTGCTCACGACAGGGCATGCTGAGCGCATCCAACGATGGTGTAAAGCTTGGCACGAAGCTGCGAAAAAAAAAAAGAAGAAAGAACAGAGCATGACGAGCCCCATAAGAGCAAAGAGCCTCTGTGAGCCCAGGGGAACCAAACGGTTGATGTTCCAAGGGGGCTGCAAATAGATAATAGGCCTTCTGCGTGCAACAATTTTGCAACTGGGAGCAACGTTTGGGTTAGAACGTCCACCAGCATCCAGGCTCTAAACTCACAGCGCCCACGGCATGCAAATCGTTGATTGAGTGCTTTCGAATATTATGTAAAAATCTTCCCAGCGGGCATGAAATTTTGAAAAAGCGTAGGTGGGCCACACGCTGAATCTTGAGTCATGCGTCGCGACTGAGCCTTCCTCGCCAGGCTCAACACAGTCAATCTCCGACGAGCCTTCTTCAAAGTTGATTGATTCAAGTTGGTGCTCCGACAACGCGGGGGCTTCCAATGGATGATGATTGGCCATTCTACAACTGGGGCTACATCTGTTGGAAAGGCCAGGCGGCTTCTGGTGACTCCATGCATGGGCTGCAGCAGTCCCTCGCGGCCTGCCTGTACACCCCAACCAAGAGCCGAATTGGATTTGCCACGCGGTGGCCGAAGTGAGGAGGCTGCTGGGTTCTCAGTCAGTCGGCCTTCCTAAGCGACGCAGCGGCTACTAAAGAGACACGACGTGACCAAAGACCCAATGTCTGGCTGCAAACTGTTTGCCGGCAAGCCTTCTTGCATCTAAAGCAGCAAATGCGGCTCACTGCGACCCCTGCACGCTGATTTTCTTTGACTAGCAGCACTTCCAGGTTCAGTTCAGGAATGGAACGCTGCTGTGTCAGGGCCTTGCGCGCGTGACAAATCCTGAATGGGGGGGCCAGAAGCTCGCCAAGTGGCTACCACACACCTGGCAGTGGTTCGCACTGCTCCCGTACCTGTCCTCGGGATGAAAGGTGCAGGTGCAAGCCTGCAATGCGTTCTGACTTCCATAGACCGCCAAATCCGAAAAAGAGAAATCCCGCCCTTGCCAAACCCACTCAAATGTATGAGAAACAAAAACTATGGACGCAGGTTGTGGGGCTTTCCAAATTTGCATTGATCAGTATACCTTCTTGTGAAAGAGGGCATGTCTTCGCGAAACCTTTGCAACTCCATTTCCGCGCTCCCTTCGTTGGCAACTCTCCGAAACCCTGGTCAACAACAACAAGTGGCCTGGAAGGCCCCGCAAACGTCTTGAAACCAAAGAGTCAGGCCACTGGCTAACAACAAGACAATCTGGCCGAGCCGAACAGCACAGAGCTCAAGCAGCAAAGCAAAGTGAAAAATAACAAGTGGCCTAAAAAAACCTTACGAACATCTTCAAACCAAAGAGCCAGGCCACTTGCTAACAACAGCTTCTGTAGCACGAGGGGGAGCTTACCCAGGGAGCCCTTGATGTGACACACCGCTCCAAGACACACGCGCAGGTCTACCCTGCTTCTATTCCCAAATTCTCGCGTTACGCGCGCAAGTAGGCTTTTTTTCCGAGAGCGGAAGTTTCAAAACAAGGAGCAGCCAAGTTTGAGAGCCTTCCTGCGCAACGCAAGTGAATGTTGTTTTGCCACTGCGACAGAGCACGCTCGCCAGCTGGGCGGTCAACTTGTTTGTCCGTTCATTGGTCTTCTTGCAGAAAGAAGCTTGGTCAATGAAGTATAGTCGCCGGCTCCCTAGTCTTGGCAGTTCCTCGTTAGCTAGTTTCTCGTTGCTCGCAAAAAAGCAGCTATTTTTACAGTCGACCAAGCAAAAAGTCCGCAGAGGCTTGCGCTCACAAAATGAGCAAAGTCCCCCCGGAAGTCCGCGCGGGGCGCACCATTCAATGGCTGCGAAACAGTGTGGGTGCCAAATGCCTATTGCAAGCTTCATGAACTGCCACACCAAGGCCGAGCATCTCTTCGAGGGCAGCGTCGCTGCCTTCTTCAGCGTGTTCTGGAGCTTTTTGCCACCGCTGCCGGTCTCGCGCCGCAGCGGTCACACACACACACACACGATTTAACACGACAAGCCAGCCAGCCTGGCATCAGCACGTCCCAGCATCCAGCGGCAAGGTGCCGCAGCGCGGTTGTGGATCGTCTCAGTCTGGCTGGCTTCGAGGTACCTGACGCCCAGCGCAGAACCAAGGATGTTCGACAAGAGCCGCCTCAGAGAAAGTCCCAGACCCTGCCAAGAAAACTACGCCAAATCTTGAGGGATTGGCCCCTTGCGCTGGCCAATTTTGCCCTGCCTCTGTGGAACATCTGGTTGTCGTCACAAAGCTGGTGCCCGCAACTTTGCAAATCGAGGTCGGGCAGCAAATGTCGAGCGCCGCCTGGCGCAGCGAAGTGTCCAATTTGCCTGGGCAGGGAATGAGTGGAACCACAGTGGCTGCATGACCTGCGAGAAAAACACGCACATAAAGTTGCTGGCCGAAGCAAGTCGCTGCCACTGCGCTTGCTCATCGCACACTCTAGGAAATCTTCTGAAGCATCAAAGGACTTGAAGTGCTGCTTCCTTAGGTAACTTCAAGCAAGCAAGCAAAGCCCCGCCCCCCCCCAAACAACACACGGCTTGCAGCCCAGTGTCTGCAACAAGGCCGTTGCCACTTTCAGCACACCTCCCAGATCAGCTTTCTTGAAGGCAGTTTGCCTGTAGGCGCGTGCTCGCCAGTGCTTGACCACGGCTCTGGGCCAGGGCCAGATCGAACCTTGGCCAGCTCCGCTGCCGTGCTTTGAGGGCTCTGAGAATATCTCACTGCCAAGCTGATGGCCACGGCGCGCTCAAATAACTGGCGCTTCCAACTCATGGCCTCGCGCACCTCTATTGACACTCTGTCCTTGTAGCGGTCCACGTGGCAGAAGCGAGTTCCATTTATCACTCTGACGATCTTCTCCTGGGCCTGCCTGCTTGGCCTGGAGGCCTGCCTGCCTGCTTGGTTTGTAGGCTTGGGACGTCGGCGCTTGCTTGGCTAGCGCATTAAAACGTAAAATTGCTGAGCACTTGCGCCGAAGCTTCGCCTCTTGACCTTCATGGAGCTGTCCTAGAAGGCACTCGAATTGGGCGATGCTGGGCGGCAGCCTGCGCCAGGTCCTGTGGCGGCTCTGCCGAGGCAGGAACCGGCCATTTGCCTCATTCCGCCTGGCCTTGCTGCTGGCCTTGACACTGCCGCCACGAGCGCCCCCTTTGACTACAGCTGCTGCGCTGCAAGTCTTGTCCTGTGTTCTAGCTGTCCTCCTGTTCTGTGTCGTGCCCTGCGGTTACGGACGGCGAAACCGGGAAGCTCGCCACATGAGAGATATTGGACTAGAAAGTGCACCATGACGTGTTTTTTCAATTGACTCCAGCTGGTTGTGGATCCGCAAGCGCGCAGAAAGCAAGCGGGGCAGCAGCAGCGACAACACAACGACATTACTGGGGGGAAACAGAAGATGGATGAGCAACAGTACAACTCAAGCAAAAACTGTACAACAAGAAATGTTCCAAAAGCTGACCCAGCCAGCCCTTGGCTCCCAGAACTCCAGGGGTTGACTCCTTTCCCATTCTTTTCAACCAGGGTTCTTTTCAAAAACCAGCCGTTTCCCCACGGTTTTGGGTGGTTTTCTAGAAAGAAGGATGCCTGGAAAGAATGGGGAAGCCACCAGTAGAACTTTGTGATTGGCTTGTTGCTTTACTTCCCAAAATCGGTTTGGCTCGTTTGTCGGTTTTGATTCGGGATTGGATGTTGAGTGGGGGCTTCTGAAGTGGATGTTGATCGGATGTGTTGATCCTGGGTTGGGACGGGCTCCTCAGGTTTCTGGGGAAAGCAGGGGAGGAAACCAAAGGAACAATCTAGAACATCCACCGGTCTCAGAAAACAAAACCTGGGAGGGACCTGTGCATCCATGGCTGGGAACCACCAAGAGTGATTTCGATCCACGGCTACATGTTCTCGCTCAGCCAAAGTTCCTTGACTGTTCCGAGCTCTTGTGACCATTGTCTCGCCACTGGCTTTAAAATGAAAGAGGTTCAGCTAAAGGATTTAAACAGGGATCCTTACATTATACACCTGAACATTGCCTTGTAAATGGTGGTGTCCCGGCCCTTTATTTTGGTGGCAAAAGCCACATGTTTCAAATGGTTGCAAAAAGTATCCTTTAAGGAGCCCTGTCAAACTCTGTGGCTTAGTGGAAACTCAACAAAATATGAAACAAACTTTGGGGGTTCGGATGGCTCTGAAAACCACCCAGCAAAAGTGATTCCAACACCCGAAATAAGTCGCTTGGTTGACGCTGGGGGAGCAACACTTTGTATGTTAGCAGTTAAGTGGGAGTTTCCTACTAAACCACAAAAATGTAAAATGTTTCGCAACAACAACCATGAAGGATTGGATCCCATGACTCTCATGGCTTTTGCTGAGCTCAATGGACCACAAGAGTGAAAGGTAAGATATTGTCAACCCCAGACCCATTAAGACACCTCAGTATCGACGGTGTTTGATTTAGAGGAAACACACCACCCACAAGGGGGGACTCAGGACGCCTTCGGTTCATGGTCATGTTTGAGGGAGACCAGAGACATTTCAAACAAAACGGGGAACAATGGGGGCGCCACGAAACGCACTGGCCGAAATTCAGCGCCCGGACAATCGGAGTTGAAGCCCGAAACCGCTCCCGAAGCGTTTGTCTGTCCCAGCCCCATCGGATGGGAAGCCGAACCAGTCGCTGGGGAACAAGATACGGCGGATGCCCAGTAAATTGCAAAGCAGGGGAAGCGGATAAACCCCGTCGAATGTACTGTAATTTTGCCATGGCTTGTGGTTTGGAATGGTTGGCTTGTACTACTTAGGGCATCCACTATATCCCCGTGAATGATGTATCCGGAGTCAAGCAGCTCTCATGGCTTCCCGCCTTCAAATCCCAACAAAAACCCGTTCATGGAACCTTCCATAGTCCCATCTGGGCTCGTCCTTTTGGAGCCGGTACCCTTTTCAGGTAGTTTGAAAGTGAAGGGAAACAGGAGGAACACCGTTGCGCCATTTCGGGGGGCCCACACCCGTTTTGAGACAAACCCATGTCCTACTTTTGAGAAACCCAAATGACAAGCATCAACCAAGGGCTACCTGAAATTCAGCGGTTTGTCCACAACTTCACGGCAAAACTCGCTGGTGCGATAGGTAGGGAATGACCGAGTCCGGGTGTTGGGAATGAACCTTTTGCGATTCCCTGAAAGGAAGCCACAAGGGGTGGTTTTTCTGATGAGTACCCTTGACATAAGAAACTCGCGCTTTTGGATGGCCTTTTCATGGACACGAGAAAAAAAAAGCCTGGCTACGAACTCGCCCACTTGGCCCTTGGGTGGTTGGTCGACCGCAACGGTTGCGACGCTTATCTCTCGCAGAGGACCCGAGAAGTTGTTTTTGCAATTTCGTCAATTGACTTTCTTCCATTTCCTTAAGCACCAACAAGCGAAGAAACGCATCTATTTCAGCAAATGGAAGCTTAATGTTGACCCAGGATTAATAAACCCGTCCCACTATTAGGGGGGTGCTCCCTCCAAAAGTGATGAATCCCCACTAAAAGGGGACCCCCCCCCTATTAATCAACCAGGGGTTTATAAATCCGGGGTTGCCATTAGGCTGGGCCTGCAACCTGTCATCCCTCCAGGCCCCGTTTCTCGAGGAATCTTCTCAAAGTTTTCGGGTCGTAGAAACCAGTGCCGAGCAAGACCCCCCGTCAGGCGCCTTCTTGTAAACGTGGGGAGGCTTGTCTCAAGGGGCGAAAAACTACACAGGATCACTTCTGATGACCAAATCCGTTTTCACATTACCCCGCGCACTTCGAGGAGCAGCGCGAACGGAGTTTCCGGCCGAGGGGCGGCGTAAAAGAGCAGCTCCTTGCCTTGGGCTTCGGACTGAGAGGATCCCCACCCAACAAAAACTTGGCCATTTGGGTCGTCTATTCTTGAGGGACCTCTCCAAAATTACAAAGGTTTGACTCCCCGTTCGCTTCACCCTTGGCGCTCCTTTCTTTCATTTAGGCCGTTGGACGTGTCTACCCCTTTTGGCTGGCTTTTAAGGTCCCCGAAACACATTACACATCTATAGACAAATTAAAAACATCAAGGCCACAATCATGAACCGTGCCCGGCGACCCACTGAGAACACCTATTGAAGCAAGACAAGGGCTGTCCAGCCGCCCCGACAAGGGTTGTCGGCTGAAATCAGGTGATTTCAAACCTTTGTTTTCACGAGTATGAAAATGATGGCCCGTTCATGAAATGGTCTTCCATCGCACTTTCGCCCCAGCGGAACGCTTGGTTCTTGAAGGGGCCAAAACGAAAAGTCGGCTTCAACACTAGCAAGGGGTATCAACGCGGTTCTCAACGGTACTTCAAGATATCCCACCAACCAAAACCACAACCCATAACCAACAACCAACAAGAGACAACCAACAAGAAACAAGAAGCAACCAACAACCAAGGCATGAGCGCATTTGAGCGACACGCGCGTGGCAGGCATGCGCGCATTTGAGCGACATGCGCGTGGGCGAGTGTGCTTACCATGTGCCAGGCATGCGTACATGTGTGCGACATGCGCGTGGCAGGCGTGGCGGATTTCTGAGTGTGACATCAAAAGTGACGCGGAACGTGCGAAAGAGACGCCTTCGTGGACCAAATGCAGAACTGCGATTTTGGGCCCGCGTGGCAGGCGGGGGATATCGCTAAGAGTGCGGGGATATCGCTAAGAGTGCGACATTAAAAGTGACGCGCCTGCTGGGGGTGGCTGAACAGCTGTGCCTGAAACAACAACGTTGCGGCGCAGATTGCAAACAAACATGTGGTACAAAACTGACCGCACGCCCGCCGACACTTTCTGGGATCAGGGCCAGGTTCCTTTCGCTCAAAGCTTGGGCCTTTGAGGCAATCCAACAGGAAACCGGAAGCCTAGCAGCGAGCAGCCTGCGGGAGGAAAACAAAAATGTCCGCAGGTGAGTCACAATGAAAACCAGGCATTCATATGGTCTAATGAAACCCAGGTAAGAAAACTAAAAGGCGGATATTTCCACTAATTTCTGGCTGGGACTGGCCCCTTTACCCGGGTTTTGAGCAAGTGGCTCAGATGTAGGAACCTTTTAGGGCCTTAACCGGTTTCCTGAACACCGATATCACGCACAGAGTTCAGCACAAGATACTGGGTTTCTACTATCCGAATCCAACCCACATTGCAAGCAACCAACGAACCAACCAACCAGCCAGCCAACTAACCAGCCAGCCACCTGCCAGCCAGCCAACCAACCAAACAGCCAGCCGGGCAGTCAGGTATGCAACCAACCAAGCAGGCAACCAACCAAACCCAACCAAAGACCACGGCACCATATATAAGTTTTCCTCATCTCTCCGATTGGCCTTTCACAGGGGGCACTGATTAAATCAAGCTTGCCCTCCAATCACCCCCAAAGCTCTCACCCTTGCGTCTTGCCATGCAACGGCCTAGTTAGAACTTCAGCACTTCATTGCTTTATGCGCCAGTGCGCCATTGCGGAACTTCCATGGTTCTATCAACCAACAAACGGCAACCTAGAATGAAACAACCAACACCTGGGACTTTTGCAAACCAACTAATCAACACCACGAATACTGTCGTGTGATGTTGGTACTTCTATCAAACGAAATGGTGATGTCTCTATAGTGGTGGTGGTTCTATTGGTGAACGCTGGTCAAGGTGCTATGACTAGTTCAGCTCTTGGTGTTATTGTCACTCCGTATGGGTTTGTCTAGAACCCCCAAAATGGTGGCTTTCCTCTTGGTTTCCCTAGCCACCAAAAAGGGGCGCCCTCCAAAATCGACACACCCTGGTCATGGTGATCCTACTTCCCTATGAGGGGTCGATTGCTATCCCCGACCAAGATAATGGGAAGCCATGATTCATGAATATACGCGGCGCGCAACCCACTTTAGAGAGAACCCATACCCACAAAGCAGGGGGCTTTTGGCTTCCAAACAGCCCCCCACTGCCCTCTTTTTTGAATGACCCCAGGATCTATAAGCGGAACTTGGCGGATTTATGAGAAACTGTTTCCTGCCGAAATGTCTGCTTTGGGACGCCAAACGGAAACCACCAATTGAGCTTATGTGTTCAGCCAATGTTACAGAGCCTGTTTTCAAAAGCCCGTCCATGTCTGACCAAACCTTTTTCCGAAGGACGCCACTTTGATCCAATTTGTATCCCTGGGGGTCCAAGTACCTAGGATGCACTTGGAAGCCCCATTTTTGGTGGCCGTTTTCGGTGGCCCTCGTGATTTTACCAGAATCAAAAGTCACCTCCAAGTGGTGAGTTCAAGGGAACCAACCCGAGTTTCTGACTTTGATCACCAGAAGCCGTCAAAAGAATATGACCACCCCCCCGCCCCCGGATTTTTTTGGGCGCCCTTTTCGGGGCCCCATCCAAAAACGGCACGGGGGACCGGGGACCCGCTGGAACGAACTCCTCGATCGGCTCAAGGCGAGTTTCCGTGGGGCATGGCCACAGTGCCAGGCACCAGCACCGCCAGGGACCCCGTGGCGCCGCAGATCATGGCCGGACGACCTGCTAAGCAACTTTCTCATGGCTGTGGTCCTTAAACCGATTTGGAGTTGATCCCACAAAAATTGGGGGTCGGTGAATTGTCCACCCTATTTGTTCAGCTTTGTTTGAGCCAAACAATTTGGGGTGGGTGAATTCACCACCCCATTGTTTCAGCTTTGTTTGAGTGGGGATTGGATTCTCATGCGGACTTTCCAGGCGAACACAAGCAGTTTGGAAGACTTGGCTCCATGTATCGGGGCCTTCCGGAAGCCTCTGTGTGTCTTGTTTCCTGAGAAAAAGGAAACACATTTTGGCAGGGATCCGGAGGCATTATACACCGATCGAACATTGCAACTTGTTTTCTGGTGGTGTCCAACTTTACTTGGGTGTTGAAAAAGCCACATGTGTCAAATGGTTGCAACATGGATATGTCTTTTAAGGAGCCCTGTTTGGCTGGGTGGGTTCAAGGAACAAGAAAGCCACAAGTCCATTTTCAGGGGTCCAACCTGGAAAAAAGTTGACACACCCAGATATCAGCGTCCCTCTCGGGTTGGATTGGCACCCCCGAGAGGTCTTTCGGGGTGGTTCCTATTTACCCTCAAGAACCAGGGACCCGTTCAAATCCCCAATCCACAAATCCAAATCCAAACCACCAATTTGAGGGGTAAGCTGAATATAGGTTTGCATCTGTTTGAGGTTGAACATTTTAAAACCGAAGCCCTTTTGAGGGTCCGATTTTGACCCATACCCGTATTTATATATATATATATTAATATATTTATTTCAAAAAAAACAAAAAAAACACGGCAAACAATCACATACTGCATCTGGCTGGTGATTGGAAACCTCCCATTTGATTGTTTGCTCGTTGTCTGCGGGAAAATAGATGACCCCTGCTCAGTTGCTCGTCCCAGCAAAATAGCCAGATACAGCCAGGGTGTTTCTGACAATAGTGTTACCCTGACTGCCTATTGCTTCGGTGATAACTGCGCCTCTGCTCTTACACTCATAGCTGCACGTTGGGTAGGAAAAATATTATGTAGATTCATGTCCTACCCTGGCGCTATTTCCTCAAAAGCCCAAAAGAAGCTTGAAAGAACAGCTGCGCCGGAAACCAGAACTAAACACAGGGGGGCCGCCAGGCGGAGTAAGGAAAGTCAGAGTAAAACTCCGCGACACAAGGTGGGACTCGCTAAAGTGGGGAACAGCCCTTGAAGTTGTTCGACGTCAAACAAAAACAAAGGCCCTTAGAGGGACGGCAAAAGTGGCCTTTGGAGGAGGAAAGGAAAGGGGCTCGGCCACGTACCATGAGCATGGTTACACATGAGCCCAGAACTTGGTCCGCATCTGAACTGCAGGACAAATACGCACATCCTGAGTGGATTGGCAAAACAAAACGTCCACTTGCTTACCACTGAAGATTGTTTTACCGAAGAACAAAATATCAAGTCCAGGAACTCGGGGAGTGGGAATATCTTCTGGATTCTGTTCCATATTTTTAGTCTGCCCTAAAAACTCAACTGGCTTTGTTTCGGAGACCCCAGAAAACACGTGTCAACCCTTCACAGCCAATTTTTGTGTCACGCCTCCAAAGATGGCGGTCACCACCGCGATGATCCTGGCTATACAACTCGCTGGTTCTTAGGAAACGAGCCCCTATGAACCGTCGTCCAGAGTGGTTTTCCTGAAGGGGAGACCCAGCTTCGTTCCCAAAAACCTTGCGATTCCATGCTAGGGACTAGCAAGGCCACATTCGCCCCGTCCATAGTCATTTCCACATGCCCCAACTCACAAACACGCCGTAGCAAAACTGCACAAACTATCGCAATTCCCCCAAGCCCAACAACCCCCCAATTTTACGCAGTACGGGTGGCTCGCCCTGTTTTGAGGGGATCCCCTTTTTCATGGTTTCCTGAAACCGAAAGGAACACCGAAGGCATTTAATGGGGGGGTCTCCACAAAAAAAACAATTGTGGTTCTTCTTGGTGTGCTGGCCCCATCCAAAAACAGCCTGTGTTTGCCTTGAAAACCACCAAACCGCCCCTCCCCCCTCCAAAAAAACAAACAAACGCCGCCTCCCAAACCTCCCAAACCCCTCGGCAACGACGCCGCCCCAACGACCGGTGCCCGCGCCACGCGGAGTTGAGCCCCACGTCCGGCGGCAGCCCCGCCGCCAGCGCGAAGGCGATGGCCTCGGGGACCAGGGCCAAGGCCACCGTCAGGCCGCACAAAATCCTTGGCCCGAGCGAACGACGGGGGATTCATCCGAAAAGAAATCGGGGGTGATAAAAAGAGGGTGATAAGAAAGGGGGTGACAAAAAACAGGGGTGATAAATTCTTCCAAAAAATGGATTCCAAAAGAAAAACTCCAAATAATCGGGGAGAACAAATCATGATAATTGGGGGAATCCAAAAAACTCCAAAACTCAAACGAATGGGGGTGATCCCAAAAAACAGGTGATCAATAGATGGGGGGGGGTGATGCAAAAAGAGGACAGAGGGGTTGTAGGGGGGTGTCTAGGGTTTTTCTATAGAGGTGTTTAGGCGGGGTGGTAGTTTAGGTGTATCCAAAATAAAGAGATGATCCAACGAAATGTGTGTTGGTCCAAACCAAAACGGAGAGGGGATAAAAACACAAATGGGGGTTGATGCACAACAAGTAGGGATTGATCCAAGAAGACCTGGGTGTTGATCATCTGGGTCAAAACCTGTGTGTTCTCAAACACTGGAATTTGGTGAGGTTTCACCCCGATGTCCTCGTGGTAATTGGGATTTGCGTGTACCCCCTGTCATTTGCTTTGCAGTAGTTGGCGGTGAACATTGACCGTTGCTCAGGTTTCACCACTCGGAGGCCGTTGCTGTGTTTGTTTTTGGGATGGTTGTAAAGGCAAACCAACAGCAAACCCCATGTGTTTGATGGGGGTGTCAACTCAAATCTGGGAAAGCGATGGTGCGGACACTGAGGAACTTGTATCCTTGGGGAAGTGGCTAGGGAAAGGTGCGGAACCGTTGAGGGACCTGTCCCCCTTTGAAATGGGGAAAAACCAAAAGGACAGATTTCGTCGATGGCTAGGGCAGAAGGGATTGAGCCTCAAGTTTTGCTTCGGGGGGACCTGTGGTTTATATGTAAGGCAGCCTCCAAATGACCAATGGCATCCGGGTTTACTTTTCATGGTTGTTTAGGTTCCGTTGCGTGGTCCACACCTGGGGTGCACAGGAAGTAACAAAAATGTTCTGACCCTGTTCCAAGTCTATACCCTGCAATCTAACATTTGGGATCCCCAGCATAGCCCACCATCCCAACCAACCCTTGCTTCAGACCCTCTGGATAAGCTGAGGTGATACCCCCAACAGCGACGACACGCCCGTGTGAGATCTGCAGATGCGGAAAACACAGCACACCCCTTGCAATGGTCCTCGATTGCGAAATCTGCTCCCCTGCTAAAAGTTAACTTTTAGTGGTTTAATGGAAAACCCATTAGTTGGCAAAAAGTTAAAGTTCTAACAGCCAAGCAAAATGAAACAAAGGGTCAGTGCTATACTGGAACCCTCGCGGAACCCTCCCCGGAACCGTCCCGTGATCCCCGGAACCCTCGGAACCACCACGTGCATCCCTGCAACCCTTGCGGAACCCTCGCAGAACCCTCGCAGATTCTTACCGCAGAGACCACCCCAGAGCCTATCTGCGCTTAGACCCCATCGCTTTCGGCTGGGGAACACATGAAAAGTATTCCACCACAAATATTCCACTCGTGACTCGTAGCTTTCCTTAGCCAACAGGGGAACATGATACATATTCTGAAACGCAAATGGATCCGATCTCAGCTGTTGGAAAAACAACATTGATCCCATGAAACGCATATTAGGATCCGAGCCACCGAACAAACAAAAACCAAACGATCCGAGTCCCCGACAAACCATAAAACCAAACCCTCCCGGGCGATGGAGTCGATCAGAATCGAGGCGCTCCAACTTGAGGTTGGGGCCCAGAATTCGGCGCCACCTGGGCAGATCGGGCTTGCTCTCGTAGATCTCGCTGTCGCTGGAGTCCGACATCTCGTGGCTGCTAACTGTGTGTGCCAAAACCGGCTGAAAAATAACATCTGCTGCATGCAGTGGCAATTCTGAAAGGGAAGCTTGGGAGGAACAGCGGCTAATCGTATCAACCAGTGCAAGTGGATTGTGGTCCATGTGTTTTTTTGTCGCCAGTGGTGAACTTGTCAACGATTCGGCCCGTGGCTCCATGGCAGTTTGTGTCTTGGTTGCTAAAGCTGCGGCAGGACATTGCATGTGAATCCATGGCGATTGTCCTCATGGGAACGCGAATCAAACAGGACACGGTCTTCCTTGACTGAAACAAACGGCCTTATCAACCTTCACCAAGTCTGGTTCTTCATGATGGCACTGCCGCATGGGATTCATGGTGGGGGCTCGGAACAATGGAAATCGGCACTCAGAACATGGGAGACTCACACTCAATTTCAACAACAATCGGGGGAAGAAACATGGTCCAATGCAAAACGGGGTAGGTCTTCCCACAAAAAACAAGCGGCGGAACCAATTTTCCCGGAAGCGCGCCGGGAAGAAACCTTGGTTTCCCCATGGCCAGCGGAGTTTGTCCACATCCCGAAAACGGAAGCCAAAATACCTCAAATAAAGCTGAGGGAAAAACACCTGCAAGAGTGTCGGTTGTCTCCGCTTGTGTCATGAAACAGTGTCGTCTCCGCATGTGTGGTAAGACACCTTTTCAACTGCGGAAACAAATGGATAGTCATGGACCCCCGCTAGGTATTTAAGGGAACCACCCTTGGCTCCCCCCCCCCCAATATGAGACCTTAAGAAGCCTTGGGGCAACTTGGTTTGGCAAGCCTTCATGGGCTGCGCTGCTTGTACCCCAGGCACAAAGAAAAGCACGGCGCTTGCTGCGCAACATTGCAGAAAGGACCCTAAATACGGCCAGAAGGGCACCAAAAATACGGCAGGGTTGCAGCACAGGCATCCAAAAACCGGTTTTGCACAGGGCTCTTCTAAATCGGCTGGGGTTCAGATGCCTTCTCTCTGGCGTAAATGTATACCCTGGGATTCAGTTGCCATTAAAACAATGGGGGCTCATAAGTTCACCACTACTGTTCACCGTTCAGGATTGTCATCCAAATTGGGGTTTGCTTGGGCCTTTCTCTTCTTGGGGGCGTTCTCAACCCTAGGGTAAATCCTTCACGGAACCCTCAAGCGCGCAGGCCGCACCAAACCAGAGGTGCAATGCGCTGCCTGCCGGGCAAGCAGACTTCGTCACTGGAGCTGCCAAACCCCAAGGTAGTTACACGCAGCAGCTTGTGCCCTAGGGTTCCTTGCCGATTCCCATTGAAAGAAAGGCCCAAATTAACACACTTTGGATGATGACAATCCTTAGGCACACAATAGTGGTGAAATATAAACCCAACCACTGTTTTAATGGTGGTTTGAAACAATGGTGGTTATTTCAAACCAACCATTGTTTTACTGGTGGCGACTGAATTCAAGGGGAATGGCCATGTGTCAAATTGAGGTTCTGGATCCCACAAAATGGCGTTCCTCGTTGCTTCCCATTGCAGTATACCAACCGGAAAAGCACAGACCCGTATACATATACTAAAGTATGCAACAGCCTCATGACTTTCAGCTGGATTGCTTTTCATGTCCTAAACACATGCAATATGTAGCACTAGCGTGAGTGACATGTTGAAGCAAGTATACGCCCAAATCACAACAAAACGTGAACCAGCCAAAAAAGGGAAAGCTATGAAAGGAACCTTCGTCATAGGGCCGGAGGCCGCAAACCAACGACTGAGTTCGCGATGTAATTTGCAAGACATATTGTATGTTTACTATGTGTATGTGTATATATATATACATAGATATGCGTTAGATACGTATATACCAATATCTATTCTGCCAAAGCATGCATACACGGTAACTTGCCAGTGGACCGGAAATCGCTTACTGGAAACCTTCTACTTATACTTGCCCTTTGAACATCAATTCCCAAAGGAAAACACATTTCGTTTAATTGACTGACTGACTGGTGGATGGATGAATGAATGGAGATGGATTGGTGATTGCTGTGTAGCGTTGCCTTGTTGTCTATGGCGAAGGTGTCTTTCCCTTTGTTGTTTTCTGTGTGGTTGACGGGTGGTTGCTTCAGTTGCTCGCTTGCGAATCAAACAAAGACACAAAACAAAAGAAGCAAGCAAGCAAGCAAGCAAGCAAGCAAGCAAGCAAGCAAGCAAGCAAGCAAGCAAGCAAGCAAGCAAGCAAGCAAGCAAGCAAGCAAGCAAACAGGCAAACCAACCAACCAACCAACCAACCAACCAACCAACCAACCAACCAACCAACCAACCAACCAACAAACAAACAAACAAACAAACAAACAAACAAACAAACAAACAAACAAACAAACAAGCACACAATCAAACAATCCAACACACAAAACACATCCCCCAGAAATTCTACAAGCAAACAAAGCCGACTTCGCAGTTTCACAGCTTGCCGGAAAGAGTTTGTAGCAAGTCACTAAAACACCACGTGTGTCTTGTTGGGGGAATGGTAGCCGATAAGATGGGTCATGTGAGGTGTGCATCGCTGCCACCAGCAGAAACACCACCAGGACTCTGTCTTCTGCTCCACGCGGAATGCGACGCCAAATGCGCCCTTGTGGACCAGTGGAGGGTGGCGCCCATCTGGGCGACGCCGTCGCCTTGTTCAACGCGGCCACGTAGCCCGCATGGGACCCAACGAGCGGGTTCCAAGCACGCTTCTCCTTCTTGGCCGCTGACCGCAGCTCGTTCACATGTTGAACGAACTCCGCTTCAACTGTGAAGGAGCAACATCCCCAAACAACTTAGCTCGGCAAGCAAGAGTTTAGGAAACCAAGATTACCTGAGCCCCGGACAAAATTACAGGGGAAACTGGGCAGAAGGCCTCCCCAAGCAAACAATAAAATATGGTCAAGCAAGCGCATTGGAGCACAGATTCTTTGGTGCCAATGCAGAGAATCAGCGCAGGGGTGTTTCATTCAGTACTGACGTCCCTCTCCTATACCCATTTTCACGCTTGATTTTGGCCAAGGCACTCTCTCATGCAGCAAACTCCAGTTGACAAAACAACACCGCGAAACAAACTGGCACAGCATCAATACCCCATTTCTTGCTAAGACGTGAGGCCTGTCAATCTCTGCTACTTCATTGATTGTGTCTCAAAAGGAAAAAAAACACATCTCGTTGGAAACATGCTGGACCATGCCGATCGTCCAAACTGATCCCCTGCTGAAAGTGCATAACTGTTGCTCAAATAAACCCAAACACTAAACCAACTAAAAAGCAACTACAAGCCAAAGGAACCGGACGGCTGGGAACCACCAAGTGATCAAAAATGGCAGAAATCCCTTGACCCGACATGCTGACCTGCTGAGTTCACTCGTCAGAAAAAAAGCAGCGTTCACTAGTCAGAAATCACATATACAGTCAGAGAAAACATACATATATATATATATAAACAAGATGAGTTCACTAGTCAGAAATAACATAGCAAAACCAGTTGGAACCTCCCAAGTTGTCACAGTTTGCCAACTCTGTAGTTAAGCTTTCGTTGGAGCAGTCCAGCACACCGCATCTGTGCAAATAGAAACAAGGAGCGATCCAAGGGGCGAGAGCATGGCAAGAAAAAACACGCCCAGAAGCATAGCCAGCAACTCTACAGTCAGCTGATAAGTTAGGCAGGGGCCATCCCTGCACCGTACAGGAAAGCATGTATTGGGATATGGGGATAGGGGCAGCCGGCAACTCCGCATGAGATGAATAGGAAAATTCAGCTTAACCTCACTTGCAAGCAAAGGACCCGGAACAAAAGGTTCGCGTTTTGCAACCCGTATTTTAAATGTGGACCAAACCGGGAAAACATGTCAAGTCGATGCCATATTATGTCTGCGTGTCATCCCCAACAAACTCAAAATCGAAACCTATCGGATTAGCACGGACGCCAACCTAGTATAATTTCTAGTTTATAGAGGGACCACCTTTTTGGGTTCCATTCCAGCATCTTGAGATCTCCAAGGACTCACTCTGGAACCAAAGAGCCCCTCTAGAAGCTGACACGGTACCAAATGTCACATGAGGAACCAAGCTTTGGGGTACTTTCTTTGGATGGCTTCAAATGGAAATCGAAGGGATGCTACCCTAAAAGGGTGTTCGCCTATTTTGAGATAAACCAATTTCGCACAGGATGTTGCAAGCTTTTTTGTTTTCTGTGTGGACCAAAGTGTGCACGATGCTAAGCTCAAATCACCCCCCCTGCCCAATCGGTAGGCCCGCTATAAAAACGGGACAACTTTCATCTAGTTCCTAGCGGAATTGGCTTTTGACATGGATCGCCGAATTTCCCCTTCAACAGTTACAGTAACTTCAAGGTGGCTTCTAGTCAAGAAACTGCCACGTTGGGCCCAAGAAAGCGAGGACCGCGGGCCCGCCTCCCCCCCCTTAGTATCCCTTAAAGTCCTCTCCAAAAGGTACCTTTAAACAAACACCTGGACGTGCGTTGAAAACAGGGTAACCCCAAAATGGGTTGCCCGATCGGTAAATGGAAACAAGGACGATTCAACCTGCGCTCGTATTCCCGGCGGTTTTGCTACCCCGATTGTCCAAACCGACAAAGTGACTAAAGTCCCAAGGACTCCTTCGCCTTTTTTGGGGAACACCCCAACCCATTCCACTTAATTTGCAGGGGACACGATGTTCCCATGTGGGGGGTTCTGAAAATGGTGGACCCCTTTTGGCGGGTAGGTATTTAAGGGGCAACCAAAGGAAACCAAACATTCATTTTACTGGGCTGCCCTCAGATCCCCTGCTAAAAGCAACCAACTTCTAGTGGGTTTATATGGAAATCCAACCACTAAACCCACCAAGTTTAGGATACCCCCGATTTCGATAAATTTTGGTACTCCAAAAAAACGCGACAAAATCCGACATTCCC